GTATAATATTAACATTTAATCATCTTGGAGAGAGTTTCATCATTGCCGAACGCGACGCGCTGAGCTGTTTGACTGTTGAATGACTGACGGCACGCTGTGCTGTTTGCTGAATGGAGAATGACTGACGAGTCGACGCGCTGTTTGTTTGAATGCTGAATGGATAATTACAGCTGCAGCGGAGGAAAACGTCTACGTGATCTTGAATTGAAAGACTTAAATATTAATTTCTATCTCACATTATACTATAGTATGGCTTCATACTATAGCCCCAACCCCCCCCCCCAAACATTTTCTCATCGAATCTACACGATTCACGTAGGTCACCTATTTTGGTTTCAAAACGGCGAATTTCGCCGAAAGGTGAGTAGGCGCTGCAATAGGGCAGGCAAGGCAGGCAATTGCCTGGGGCCCCGCATTTTGAGGGGGCCCCCGAGGGTCGATCATTTAAACAATCAAAAATGTTCGTATTAATATAACACGCAGTGACACCGCAACACCTCGGCAACCCCCTTAGTGGGGCCCCCTCTCTCGCGACTCGCGAGGCTGCTTATGCTTTCGCCACCTCTGGCGCCTTTTTCAAACTGCCGCAGCGCTTGCTCGCGTTTCTGAAACCGAAAATCATATCCGAAAATGCATGAATTCATGTATTAAACATGCAGAGGACATATCCAACTGGCAGCCAAAAGTGAAAAAAAAGTAAGATGAAGTGGAGAAGAGAAAACAGGACTGCGGTAAGTGATGGAGAATGAGATGATGATGATTGATTGACTTAGCTAATTAATGACAAAAAAATCGTTTCGTTGTTCAGTTCACATATTTTTCACAGTAGTAACATTACATATCGTTTTAAAGCATCTTTACAGAAAATATATGCATTTATTTTCTGTAAAGATCTTTAAAACGATAACGTTGCGCGTTTCCATTACAGATTTGCGCAAAACTTTTACAATATTTTCCAAATGTCGATAAAAAACTATTGCGAAATGACGGTATTTCCATTAACCGAACGTCTTTTTTTTCCTCTCGCGATAAGTCATTCCAAAAATCATGGCAACGGACGTTGGTAAGTTTACCTATTTCACAGATATGCACCGCACTAGACATTATTATTAATGGAAGGAGACGTGTGTTATTCAAGCATTAATGGCAGGGAAAGACATGGAGTTCCTGCGTTTCTCCCTTATTTCTGCTTCGATGTCTTGATGGCATTTCTTTGAAGTTTAGAGAGGCTATTCCTGTAATTATTGTTTCTTTAAAAAAAAAAAGAAGAAGAAGAATTTAATAAAGAACATTATGTCGAAAAAAGAAAAATGAACGGTTGTTGTATTTCAGCCCATTCTCACTCCCAAGGCGTCACCTAACTGACGCCTTGGGAAGCATTTGGACATGCTTCAATATCTGACGCTTTAGGCGCCCTTTAGCGTCAGTTAGATGACGCCCTAGGATCGCGTGTACCCTACCCCCACCCCACACCTAAACCTAACCGCGTCCTCTAACAGACGCTTTCCTTTAGCGTCAGTTAGATGACGCCGTAGGATCGCTTCATGTAAGTGACGCTAAAGGGCGCCTAAAACGTCAAATATTGAAGCATGGTCAAAGGTGACGCCTTGGGGTGAGAATGCGTTGTGTATTTTTAAAATGCAAAGTTGAACACCAACATTTTAGTTTGACCACACCATAGCTGCACTATAACATCTCAACAAATTTTCAGATATTTGTTTATGACTTTTTGCCCCCTTTAAAACATTTAAAATATTCACAAATTAATATGGGGAAAATTTTTAATTTTACTGGTTTTCTAAGGCCAAATTAGAACATGGATATTTATGATATTTTTCCTGCAGTGCTGTGGCTATAGGAGAGTTATTATGCGTCTGAAAAAATAACGAGCTAAAAACATAATCTCCGGATAGACCTTTAGAGAGAACGGCACCTTTCATACGGATTACATAATCAGAAGGTATTAGTTTACGATTCGAATTTGTTCTTTTTAAAGTGGACATTTCAAGCTTTAGTCTATAAAGGATACTGGTTCAGGTCTCGCGCTCCAGTTCACGAAGATCATAAAGCGGACCTGACTGTTTTATGTTATTTTACAAAAGCACAACGTTTTCTTGTTATTGTAACATTACGCAAATAAAAGTAGTTGCGAATAATGTATTATTATTTTCTGTATAACCAGAAATGATAGAGTATTTTAAGTTGATTCCACTGTTGATGGGAAAATGAAAGTGTTCACGGCGCGCCCGCGTCTGTCTGCCATCCAGTGCGTGCTCCAAACTCCGCACGCACTCTTGGATATTGGACAAAATTGAGTGTTTATTTGTGATAATCTAGCTCTATTATTATTATTGTCCAACCTGTACTATGAATGAGATGTGACGAATTGCTTTGTTCCTTTTTTTGGATAAAAGCGTCTTCTCTACATAGGCTATGTAGACTAATAAATGTTATAATAGGCTAATGATCATAATTATTATTATTATTATTATTTGCGGACACGGACCTAAAACACACTCCGTCTTCTAAGTCGGTGACTGTAAATGCGCAAAATCCGCGTTTCCATTGCAGTTTTGCGGAAAAATCCTTTTTCGAATTGCCTGAAAAACCTCATGAGAGCATAAAAACCTTTTTGCGATAAACGGGAGTTTTTGCGAAATTGACGTGTTTCCATTGAGCGTATTTTCAATTTGCAATTTCAATTTGCGCAAATTGCAGGGCTATTGAAACGCAGCTGACAGCATTTTCCGTAGCTAAGGCTCGTAAGTAGTGTTTTTAAGGTGACAATAGATTATAAATATGAAGATTTATGTACTGTACCTTGAGAATGATATTGTATCTTGATAAAACATAAGTACTTTAATGTTGTAAAAAATAAACAATTTGTTCTGTTAGATGTGTTTGACTACTTTTTGTATGTTGTATAATTATATCTCTAGCCTAGGAAACAAAGATATATTTACAAAAAAAAAAAAAACTATTTTAGAAGGGCCTCATTGATTAATTTTGCCTGGGGCCCCCACTCACTGTTGGTTCGCCTCTGAGTTTTCATGTCTGAAAACAGCTAAATATTTAGCAAAGCCCACACAAAAGATCTGAACCGGAAGCCATGCAATCTGTTTGCAAGTTTGTTGAACATAACATTTGACATACTGGCCAAATTATAAGAATCTTTCTAGTGATGCACCGATATGAACATTTTGGCCGATACCGATAATTCTTTATATTTGAAAGCCAAGATCCGATATATCGGCCGATAAACTTAAATCCAAATTTTTATCTAATTTTGAGAGCCTGATTACAAAAACAAAAGTCTCACAATTAAATCCATGTCCCAAGCGCACAATTATAATCCTGTCGGCCACCCCGAAGCGTTTTTGACGATCGGCAACAATAGATCAATAGATAGATCTAGAACTAGATCTACAACAATAGATCTAGTTCACAATTAATCTGTTTCACTATAAATACTTTTTGGCTAATATAACTATAAGTCTTTGGGAAAAACACTTATTCTATACATCTGAATGCAGTCACCACATAACTAATTTCTGTATTTTCACAAATGTACAGAAGTCAAAGGGATTTCAAATCAATGTATTTATTAATTACAAAACATAAAACATTACATTCAGGTTATTATATATAATATACTTACACTATTATATATTCACATAAAAAACAGAAACATAGAAAACAGCTGTTTTACATTATGATAAAATTTCACAACATTACTGGCTTTTTTTTTTGTTTGTCAAATAAATGCAAGCTTGATAAGCAGAATAGACTTCTTCCAAAATGTTTCTAAATTTTTTACCTGTATACTGTATATGATTTTATACAAAATTAATAGTAGTTAATAAGATTGACACTGTATTATATCTAGTAATATTGAAGCTAAACAGAGTCCCTATAACAGTGCAATTTGTAGATTTTTAGTCTTCGAGAAAATGTTTTATGAGTTGCAAACCTCTTTTTCTTTGCTTTCTCTCTCTCACAAACACAACACATCAGTTACACAAAACATCAGTTAAATTCTTCATTGCAGGTGCACAAATCCTATTCTAAAAATTACCAAACTCATAGGGTCATATTTTTGTTGATAAACAGTAACATTTTGGCCAATTATGCACATTTCTTGGTGTATAATTTTGTGAATCATCTGTACTGTTTGGCTATTCTCATGTGGTCACACTTCACTTTTCATTCACAGTCACATATGCTCAAACCCCGTGTGGCCGTGCCTTAAATGTCAGCATACATTTCTTACAGGGCTGTGCAAAAGTTAATTGCGATTAATCGCATTCAAAATAAAAGTCTGTGTTTACATAATATATTTGTGTGTGCTGTATATAATTATTTTGTATTAGGGCTGTGAAACGATTAATCGCGATTAATCGCATCCAAAATAAAAGTTTTGTGTTCACATAAATTATATACGTTTGTGTAGTGTGTATAATTATTTTGTATATATAAATACACACACATGCATGTATATGATATTTGCATGTTTGTACTGTATGTTTATACAAAATTAATATTATACATAAATATAAATCTTTGATATCAAGAACACATTTTTCTTAAATATATACATACATATGTGTGTATTTATATATACAAAATAATTATACAGACATATATCATGTAAACACAAACTTTTATTTTTGATGCAATAAATCGTTAAACGATTTTGTATATATAAACACACACATGCATGTATATATTTAAGAAAATGTGTTATTCATATATAAAATATTTATATTTATATAATATAGATTATGTATTCATATATATATATATATATATATATATATATATATACACAGAATTATATAATTCTGCAAATAATTCTTAAATATATACATGCATGCATAGGTATTTATATATACAAAATAATTATATACAGCACACACAAATATATTATGTAAACACAGACTTTTATTTTGGATGCGATTAATTGCAATTAATTTTTGCACAGCGCTTTTTGTTATTTGAAAAAAAAGAAAATTATTTGTACACCTCCAATGAAGAATTTGAAAAGCTGTAACTGCAGTGTTTTTTGTGAAAGAGAAAAAAGTTTGAAACTTAAAAAAAAAAAGTTCTCTCTGTGACTACTTTACACCTGACTACTTTTAACTGACTACGTTACAGCTACAGATTCCACTGTCACAGGTGCTCTGTTTTGCTATAATGAAACCTTTACAGAACATGATAGTAATCCGCCATCCATGTAAAAGCAGAGGTCGGTGTGGTGTACAGGTACATCTGTCCAGCCAACATCTCACGCCTTGATGCCTTCCACTGTGGATCCCAGAAAACCTGCAAAAAAAAAAAAAAAAAAAAAATACAGTTCAAAATCTATCATACATAATCATACATCTGGTATCACAAATTATCATTCCAGGTTCAATCAGGTTAAATGCTCAATATTAGAGCTGCAAGTATTGATAAATTCAATAGAAGAAAAATACAATTGAAATAAGCAGTGCATGAAGTTTTTTCGGAAAATCTAACTTATCAGGTACGGAAATTGAATTATCGAATGTAAAATAAGTCTTCACTGAGGTACAGCCTCTCCCTACAAAATGACAAACAACCAGCCTGAAAAACACATGACAATGACACAAGACAATGTCTATAATAAATATTGTGTGTGTAATTTCTTCAGTACCGTCAGCAGAACTGATAACATCTGAGCTTATCAATACTGCAGTCTTCCTTAATTTGGCCCCAGGGCCCATTTAATGTTTAATACCGGGTTTCGGAACCTATTCCTATGTATGGGTGAGTTCATATGGATGAAGGCCTGTTGTGTTTGGCCTCTTGGTTTGTGATAGTGATATAGCTATTGTGAAACTCACCTTCGTCATGTACTGGGTGTGGATGGCATCAAGATCTTGTCCTGAAGAATCACAGGATCAAATGATATCTCATCTGGTAACAAGAGCATAGCCATAACCCCCTGAATTCAGCATTTGAAAGTAAAAAGAATTTCAGTATTTATCAGTCAAACATGCATAAAAAAAATAGCTTTGAGTTGGACAGTATGGTGTCTCATTGCCCAACATAATAAAATAAAAAAATTATATATATATATATATATATATATATATATATATATATACCCATGACTATTATCCTGAATTATTATAACTATGACTATTATAACATTATATTAAAACTGTAGTTAATTAATTTAAAGTGAGAGACTTCATTCAAAATCATAAATCCTACAGACCCACAACAATTGAACAGTATGTATGAAGTTTTGCTTACTATAGTCGTGGAGATTGTCTTGGATGACCCCAGGGGGTGCAGCAGGACATCTATGATGATCTTCAAGAAAATAACATGCAATGTGTCACAGAGCCAACAATATTACATTGAATTTACAATAGAACAAATGGTTTAATACAAGGAAGCAAGCTAGAGCGGAGATGAAATGCAGAAAAGATAAAGAATATACATAACAAATCTTAAGGTAATTGTTATGAACGCCTTGAGCGGTTGGAGGTTCCCATTGACAGAGGAAACAGTTGGTCAGGGTTAACAGTGCTTTTATTGCAGTGCAGGGTGACAGTCACTCAGAATTTGTGGGAAAAACAGAAAAACAAAACAAAAACTTAGAGGCAACCAAATATAAGACTGCACAACATAAGGCCAAGCAAAAGAGCATAACCTGACCTGTGCAAAAACACTACTTAAGTAGTATTTTCCCAGAGTTACAAACTCACGAGCAGTCCATGGTCTGTCTAGACCTCTCCTTCACCTCCTATCTCTGACTGCCCTAATAACTTTCTGGAGTCATTTTATAGCCCTGACTCCTCCTACTCTGGAACATACCACCTTAAAGGTAACACATTTCATACACTTACAGGAATGCATAATAATAATAATAATAATGAAGAAAACAAAAACAATAACAAAAGTAATAAATACAAATAAACATATATGTAATAAATCATATCCACAAGTATATATATATATATATATATATATATATATATATATATATATATATATATATATATTCAAAGAAAACCCATAACTTAAAAACTATAAGAAAAAACTCTCCGGTGACGTCACTCACATGAACGCGCCACTAGCTGGCGCGGACACAAGACCTATAAATAGACCGGATGTTCAACCGAACAGATTTGGCCAACAACTCATCACAACATGGTAAGCATCTTCTATATCTCTTCCACTTTAATCAATAAAATATGTTAATCAAATACTCGTGGTGGTGATTCATTCCCGCATGAGAAAAACACTTCTATTAAACACTTCTATTCACTCGTATACGATTAACTAGTGGTCATTACTCAGATAAAACTACACACAGACCATCATACAAGTTTACAACACAATGATATCAAATGTCACACAGGTCAATGCATACATAAATATATGTCGGCTAACAGACTGTAATACATGACGCCGGTGTATGCGCGTAACGTGCATGTGTATGTGCGTGTGTCCATGCACAGTCGCAGGCTTACCCTGTGACATTTCCTCCCCCTTCCCCAGACACCACTCGTGGTGTCCTGGAGAGGAAATCTGCGGTGCAGTTTTCCGAGCCAGTCCGATAGACAACCTCAAAGTCGAATGGCTGCAGAGCCAGGAACCACCGTGTTATACGAGCATTCGTGTCTTTCATTCGGCCCAGCCAAACCAGTGCCCGATGATCAGTTTCTAATTTAAACCTCCTACCCATTAGGTAGTACCTGAAAGAGTCCAAGGCCCATTTGACCGCCAGGCATTACTTCTCTACGGTTGAATACCGTGTCTCTCGTGGAAGGAGTTTCCTGCTGATAAAAGCAATGGGTCTTAAGTGTCCTTGCTCTCCCTGCAAAAGTACAGCCCCAAGGCCAAATTGTGAAGCATCAGTCTGCACTGTAAAAACTTGGTCAAACTCCGGACTCTGCAACACTGACTCTTCACATAAAGCATCTTTCAAGTACATAAAAGCACGCTCACAGTCTGCAGTCCAATTAGGCTTGTTGGGTTTGTTCTTCCTTGTGAGCTCAGTAAGGGCTAAGGCTTTTTCAGAAAAGTTCGGGATAAAGCGTCTATACCACCCCACCAGGCCAAGGAACGACCTTACTTGCTTCTTGGTTACAGGCCGCTCAGCCTGTTTAATGGCCTCCACCTTCCCAACCTGAGGGCGTATGACTCCATGCCCCAGCACATGACCAAGATAACAGGTCTCTGCCTTAGCTATTGTGCACTTGTCTGAGCGAATAGTAAGACCAGCATTTTTTATTCGAGTTAACACCTCCTTGAGATGTATCAGATGACCCTGCCATGTCCTACTGAAGATAATGATGTCATCCAAATATGCCGCTGCGTATTTCTCAGTTCCACTAAGGATCTGATCGATCATCCTCTGAAAAGTCGCAGGAGCCCCATGTAGTCCGAAAGGAAGCACACGGAATTGATAGTCCCCAAAGGGAGTCTTGAACGCTGTAAACTCTTTACTGTCTGGACTTAAGGGCACTTGCCAATAACCTTTGCACAGATCAAGAGTTGTGAGGTATTGTGCACTGCCAAGCTTTTCAATTAAATCATCGACTCTGGGCATAGGGTAAGGATCAAATTTGCTCACCGAATTGAGTTTTCTAAAGTCCAAACAGAACCTTAGGGACCCATCTTTTTTTGGCACCAGCACAATGGGGTTGTTCCACTCGCTTACTGATGGTTCTATGACCTCTAGTTTCTGCATAACTTCCAACTCTTGCTTCATGATAGGCACCAGCCTTTCTGGAACTCTGTACACTGGTTGTCGAATCGGTTTCACATCCTTCAAATAAATGTGATGTTGTACCAGATCTGTCTTCCCAGGTGTGTCCTGGAACAGCTGCTCAGGTATACAATTTTGCAACTGACTTCTTTGTTCCACTGTCAAATGCTGAAGATTTAAAGGGTACTCACTTCCACCAACAGGCAAGAACTGCTCCTCTACTTCGTCCTCTTCCTGTACTGCCCTTACCAAGAGGTCCTTCACCTCTGCTCTTACTGGTTCTGGCTGTGCAGGCAGACTGTGCCACTTTTTCAACATATTAACGTGAAAAGTCTGCAAAGGTTTATTTCTGGATGGCATTTCTATTTCATACGTTACTGGACCAACTTTCTTCCTCACTTGATATGGGCCTTGCCATTTGGCCAACAGTCGGTTCTCTGACGTTGGAAGTAACAACACTTGCTCTCCTGCTTGGAAAGTTCAGGACCTGGCCTTCTGGTCATACCATATCTTCTGTTTCACTTGTAACTCCTGCACACTCTCCCGTGCCTGGGTGGATGCCAGTTGCAACTTCTCTCTCATTTTGAGGATGTACGAAAGAATGTTCTGCTTGGTGGGCTTGTCATTGGCTTCCCAACTGTCTCTCAAAACGTCCAGTGGACCCCGAATCTGGTGAGCAAACAGTAATTCAAAAGGAGAAAACCCGGTGGATGCTTGAGGAACTTCACGGTAAGCAAACAAAAGGTAAGGCAGCCATTTGTCCCAGTCTTTTCCATTCTCAGACACAAACTTCTTCAACATTCCTTTTAAGGTCTGATTAAATCTTTCTACCAGACCATCAGTCTGGGGGTGATATGGAGTAGTCCGAACTCTCTTAATGCCCAGTAACTGATAGACTTGTTTTAGGGTACGACTCATGAAATTGGGGCCTTGGTCAGTCAAAACTACTTTAGGAATGCCTACATGTGAGAAGAAGTTTAACAGTGCAGCTGCAATCTGTTTTGCAGTAACGTCTCTTAAAGGGTAGGCCTCGGGGTATCTGGTTGCATAATCACAAACCACCAAGATAAAACGGTTCCCTTTCTGACTTCTCTCCACCGGTCCAACAATGTCCACCCCTATCCTCTCAAAAGGTGTATCTACTGCAGGTATCGGAACAAGAGGTGCCTTTGCAGGTGCCCTACCAACTGCTAACTGACACTCAGGACAGGTTTTGCAGTATTCTTTCACTTCAGTATACATACCGGGCCAATAAAAACGTTTAGAAACTCTCCTCAATGTCTTCCTGAATCCCATATGACCTGACCAAGGAATTGAATGGCTGAGCTCTAACACCTTTCTGCGCTGAGATTTGGGTACCACTAACTGCAAACCTTCCTTTTCACTCTGTCTGTAAAGAAGACCTTGTTCCACCATAAATGTCTCACCATACAATGAACTCACAGTTGCATCTTTGCTAACTTTCCTAAAACATTCAGACAAAGTAGCATCCTCTTTCTGAAGCTGTCCTAATTCACTGGGTATGACAAACTCTGACTCAGCAATCTCTGGTTCTTCCCACTCAAACTTTGTCTGTTGTGAGCTATCCATCAAATCTGCCACTTTTTTCCTGCGTTTGTCCAATCTATCTTCCTCAGACAACCCTTCTTCAGCTAGACTTTCTTCCAGAAAAAATGGCATATCCTGGAGAGTGCCATCTATCGAATCTTCAGTTTGTGCTATCCGGGTATGCTTTTTCGCCTGCGCTCTAGTAACTATCCCACACCAAGCTGTCTCCTGCACTAAGTCTGCTAATATGGGCATATCAGTTCCTAGCAACACGGGATCGGGCAGGTTTGTGGTAACACCTACATTCATCAAAAATGACTGCTTGTTAACCTCCAAATACACCTCAGCAGTAGGTAATTCTGACTTATCTCCATGTACACAACAAACCGTTACGGTTTCCTCAGTCCATGACTCTCTAGCTATATATTGTGACTGTACTAACGTAAGTGTACATCCTGTATCTACCAACGCCGTCAGCAACTTACCATTTAATAACACTGAAATAGTGGGCTCCTTATCTGGCTTCAACACTATCTTAGGGCTAGACTGGGGCACATAACACAAACTGGCAGCTTTGGGTTTTCTCACCGGGCAATGTGGGCTAGTATGTCCTACCTCTCCACAATTATAACATACTATATCGCTTCTAGGCATCTGCTGTGTGACTACCGGCAGTGAAGGCTTTGGATCAGTGACTTTAAAACTTTGGGCTTTAGTTTGAGAGAACGAACTACCCCCTGACCCCACAGACGTACCTCTTGCCTCCGAGAAGACACCAGAGTACCGTAAGGTCCCAGAAGATCCCTTTCGCGCTGCTATATAGGATTCTACCAGGTCAGCTGCTTCTCCTGCGGTACTGGGATTTCTCTCCTTCACCCAGATCCTCACCTCCGGATACAGCACTCTCATATACTGCTCCAATACCAAGGTCTCCATTATCTCGGTTTTACTGCTCATGTCCAACTTGACCCACTTTGAGAACAAGTCTTTTAAGCGAATG